TATATATGATTCCCCAAGGCAGCAACCAGCCAGGCTTTGAAGCTGCAAGGCCATTCAATGCTAATCAGGGTGGTCAATTGCAACATTCCCACTTGCCTCCAACAGACAAGAATTCTTTCTCCCAACCCGGACATCATTCCACAGATAGATAGATAGATAGATAGATAGATAGATAGATAGATAGATAGATAGATAGATATGATTCCCCAAGGCAGGAACCAGCCAGGCTTTGAAGCTGCAAGGCCATTCAGTGTTAATCAGGGTGGTCAATTGCAACATTCCCACTTGCCTCCAACAGACAAGAATTCTTTCTCCCAACCTGGACATCATTCCACAGATATATATATAATCTGTGTTAGTCAAGGTGGCCAGTTGCAACATTCCCACTTGCTTCCTGCAGACAAGAGATTTTTTTTCTCCCACTCTCCACAGATATACAAACCTTACTTTCCTAGTTTCCAACAGACCTCATAACCTCCGAGGATGCCTGCCATAGATGTGGGTGAAATGTCAGGAGAGAATGCTTCTGGAACAGGGCCAGACAGCCTGGAAAACTCACAGCAACCCATTAATGCCTTTGACAACACATTATTAGGAGTATAAGGTGTACAGGGAACACAAATTAATTTTGTATTTAGACTTGAGTCACGTTTCCAAGGTATCTCATTATATTCCTGATTTATCACTTCACCATCTGATTTTGCTCAGCCACACATGTCTCTGTTTCCTCCTGAACTGTTGTCACGCCTGAGGTTGCGTGTGTGCATGTCTTGTTTCGACCCGACTAGCCTGGTCTGTCTCTTGGCAGGTGGTCTATAAGAACAATGACTTCAAGCTGGAGCTCTCCCGCCTGGCCAAAGAAGGGGACCCCAAGATGAAAATCAACGGTGACCTGGTCTTCCGCTGCGAGAACGTCGCCGCCCTGGACCCCGTCACCTTTGAGTCCCCCGAAGCCTACATCTCCCTTCCCAAGTGGAACACCAAGAAGACGGGCTCCATCTCCTTCGATTTCCGTACGACGGAGCCCAACGGCCTGCTGCTCTTCAGCCACGGCCGGTTGCAGCCGCCCAAAGAAGGCCGGTCGGAGCGCCTCCACAAGGCAGACTACTTTGCCATGGAACTCCTGGATGGCTACCTTTACCTGCTGCTGGACATGGGCTCGGGCGGGATCAAAATGCGGGCCAGCAGCAAGAAGGTGAATGACGGCGAGTGGTGCCATGTGGACTTCCAGCGGGACGGGCGCAAAGGTGAGTGTCGGAAAATGCCTTTGTTGGCCAAGAAATGGATATTGATGAATATTCTGTCCATCTTCCTCTAGAGTAAGAAACAGAACTTGCCCCCTTGCCTTGGAAAGGGAGTGTGTGTGTGGCATGCAGGTCCAAAATGCATGTGCTCCTGCCTTCAGCTAAGTGCCTCCTCTAGAGTAAGAAACAGAACTTGCCCCCTTGCCTTGGAAAGGGAGTGTGTGTGTGGCATGCAGGCCCAA